TATTCATTCAATTAAAACCCTAGTCACCCCATCTCTCTCTCTCTCTCTCAAGAAGAAAATTTTCTTGTTCTTCTTTCTTGATTCTTGAAGCCCTTGATTGTTCTAGCAAAATAATCAGAGGTTCTGCAGATTATCTTCGTGGACTACCGTGAGTGCGATCCTACTTTGGATCGATTGGTGAAAAATCATGTGAATAATAAACGGTGAACAATGTTCTTGCCCGAAATCAGAGATATTCGAAGGAGCCTCCAAACGTACGTAAGTATTCTAATCCTTAAATGGATTTACTTTATACAAATTTATGTTTATAAACATGTAAACGGTATAATCTATACTCGGATCTAGGCAAAGAAAGGTAATTGATTTACCGATTGAAGTTTTGTTTTCTGCAGCTTATGGTTGATCAATTACTTACAGTGGTATCAGAGCCTCAGGTATTAGATTATATTGTTTAATTGATGTTTGATAACATTTATATTTGTTTGATAACATGTTATTGCATGATTTGAAGTGTTTTTTAAATCTAGAAAAATTATGTATGTTGAATATCTTAATTAATCAATTGATTAAATAATATGTTGATTGAATGTGTATTGGTTGGTTGGTATCTTGGTCGAATGTTTAAGCATTCGATTTGATTTGGATCCGTGTCATTATGTGAAAAATTGCAAAAGACGTTACTATGCCTGATTCACTGTTTTGTGGCGTTAGCCATGGCAAAATAACACTTTGTCATGGCGAGATGCAAAAAGTGAATCTGGCCACAGCGAAATAAACCTTCGCCGTAGCGAAATTTCGGAAAAGTAAATCTAGCCGCGGCGAAATAAAACTTCGTCGCGACATAAAACTCTCTGGAATGATTTGTGTTTTCTGGAAGTTCATGGTGGCCGCGGCAAAATAAAACTTCGCCGCAGCGACCATGTGTGCATGAACTTCACCGACACGAAGAAGTTCTTCGCCGCAGCAAGAAACATACTTTTCCGTTTTTGCTTTCCGTTTTTCATGTAGTGGCTAAATTGCAGTTTTTTTAACCTTTAAAGCCAATATATATTCTGTACGTTTAAGGTGGTAACTTGATAATTCAACCCACCCAATTCAAAAATTGATTGTTTTTTAATGTATGCAATGTTTTTGTTTGATAATTGCATGGTGCTTGGTACATGAGCCTTAGACCTATTGTTTATTATTTATTGGGTTTGTAAGTTTTATAAACAAATAGGACATGTGTGTCCTGCCTCTCTCTCTTAAATCTCCATGTATTTCTTCTCTCATCTCACTCCCCTCGTATGTAACGCGAGGTTTCTATTAGATGTAAATTAGAATATGATTTTTATTATAAAATTATTTGTAATGATCGAGAAGAAGAAACGAAGGAGCTATGAAGAGGAATGACTTGAAGACCCAAGATTAACTTTTAAACCCTAGGTTGAGCTACCGATTCCTCTAGGCTCGAGGAAATCGGTGTTAGTGGTCCATGTACCAACACGTTTAATTTTTTGTTTAGAATGCATGCTAAGGTTGAATGTTCAGTAACATGCCAAACAATGACATTCTAACAAAGATAATAATCTGGTGAGACATTAAATAAAACCCTCAAATAAGATATATTAAGTCACATATGCCTTCCATCACCATGGTTTTAATCAAACCACGGTTCGTTGGAATCTTGTTCGCTACAACGAAGAGTACACTTCTACTAGTGGGAGGTTAAAATTCATTGGAGTTTTCCTTAATGATGATAGGTCGACTTAAAATAACAATTTTGCTTGTTCGCCACAGCGAAGGTTGCGAAGGTTGATAAACACGTCATAGGCATAGTAGAGAAGTACACATGTTGAGTGTACGTGGCGACATGTAGTGTCCACTCTACTGATACTAGGAATCACACTTGAGGATGATGGCTAGGCCATTGGATTGTGTGATTGGCTTGTTGGCTTACTTCACATTTGAGGTTGGTAGTGGGAACTATCAACAGGTGTGGATTAAGTTTGTTAGCCTACCTAATCAACCCATTTTGGCTTGTTCACCATAGCGATGGTTTGAAATGGGCCAGATGGGATCTCAGTCCACTAGGAAAGCCAACAGGCTTTCTCGAGTTAATAGTGAGGGCTATTGACTTGAGGAAAATAGTGGGAGTGTTTTTTAATAAAAGACCATATTAAGAAATAATAAACATTATATTGACTTTACTTTTTTGAATTGTAGATTCACTTAAAAATGAGCATTATGAACCTACGACCGATAATCGAGAAAGAAAACTGATTAGATGGATCCAATTTCTCGGACTGGTATCGTAATTAAGTTCGAAAATAAATTTTATATCATTGATAAGCCATACATGGCTAAACTTGATCCTGATGCCACTCAAGAAGTAAATGATACTTATCAAAATTTTTTGATGATGCTAATGGCGTTCAATGCTTGATGTTAGCATCGATGACACCAGTGCTGCAAAAGTAGTATGAGAATATGGACATTGCTACCATTATTCTACACCTCAAGGAGCTTTACGAAGGGAATGCTTGACATGAGAGGTACAAGGTGTCAAAAGCACTGTTTGGAAGTCGTCTGACCGAGGGAGCTCAAGTTGGCCCTCATGTGCTCAAAATGATCCAGCACATGGAAAGGCTTGAGACTTTTGGGTAGGGATGGGCACGGGCCGGGGCGGGGTAGGGGACCACTATCTCCGGCCCCAGCCTGAAAGCCCGAGGGGATTCCCCGAAGCCCGTTCCCCAAACGGGGAATTCGGGGATTCCCCGTTTGGGGTTTTTTTTTTCCCTTAATTTATACTTTTATTATTATTTTCTCCCAATTATATATACCAACCAAAAAAGAAATTAAATATATAATATACATATTAAACGTGAAGACCATATCATCAAAAAAAAAAAAAATTAAATCTATAATGTACGTATTAAATATAAATACATTATACATATATATAAATATATTATATATTAACAGTATAATATTATATATTATTGTATTAAGTAATAAGTATACATATATAATGTCTCTTTAATATATAATATAATGTATTATATATGATACATTATACATATATATTATAATAAATTTTAAATAAATAACTACCATACATATTATAATAAATTCTAAATAAATAGCTATCACAATTCACAATATAACAAAGACAATTAAGTAATAGAATTGAAATAATGATTCAATAAGGAACAAAAAAAAAATTATAGTGATTTATTGATTCATTATAATCAATCAAAACAACAAATAATATATTACATATATATTATATATTAACGTAAGATTATAGATAATAGTATAGCATATTATGTATAAATTATAATGTACAACATATATATGTTATATACATTATACTTATATAGTATATATCATATATAATATACAATGTATAATGTATAATATATAATGTCAAATGTATACTATATATAATGTATAATGTTAAATGTATACCATATATAATGTATAATATATAATATTGAATGTATAACTTTTGATTCATAGCATTATCATATTATGTATAATTAATATATATATTACAAATATTTATAATGATTTATTATATTTAATCTAGTTTTATTTATTACCTATTTGTATATAGTTTCATAAAATACTTACACAATTATAATTTGTTATTGTATAATGTATAATTGATTTTCAAATAGTAAAATTATTATAGGTATATATGATTGATTTTCAATTATTAAAATTAAAATTGATATATATATATAATTAATATATATATATAATATACGGGCCGGGGACGGGGCGGGGCAAAGCCAATCCCGGCCCTGGCCCGTCCCCGAATTTCGAGGGGCAATTTTGGGCCCTAGCCTGGCTCGAATCCCGAAAAATTCACGGAAAATCCGCCCTGTTCGGGGCGGATCCCCGCGGGGCCGGGTTATGTGCCCATCCCTACTTTTGGGTTTGAGTTGGATGCAGAATTACAAGTGGATTTAATTCTACAATCCTTGCTTGACTCTTATGCACCGTTCATAATGAACTTCAATATGAACGCTATGGTGAAAACCCTATCGAAGCTTTTGAACATGCTAAGGACTGTAGAGTAGGACTTGAAGAAGTCCAAGCCTGTTTTATTGGTGACTGCTAGTAAAGGAAAGGGTAAGGGTAAGGGTAAGGGCAAGGGAAAGGGAAAGGCCAAGGCCAATCCCAATCCCAAGCCCAAGCCTAAAGGACAGGATGCTCTCAAGCCTGCGGGTGACTTTGGGAAAGGTGGGAAGGTAGTCTGCTTCTATTGTGGCAAGCTTGACCACTGAAGGAAGCACTACAAGGCTTTCCTCGCAAATAAGAAGAAGTCAGATGCTCCGACTTCAAGTATGTTTATGATTGAGATTAACTTCTCCCCTTCAACATCTTGGGTCATTAACACAAGATGTGGTACTCACATTTGTACTAATGTGTAGGGACTAAGGCGGAGTAGATTGCTCGTCAAGGGAGAAGTGGACCTACGAGTTGGAAATGGAGCACATGTGGCTGCATTAGTTGTAGGAACTTATTGTTTGTCTTTGCCTTTGGGCTTATTATTAGAACTCAAAGATTGTTATTTTGTACCTGTGATTTCTAGAAACATTATTTCAATATCCTTTTTGGATAATATAGGATATCGTTTTGAGATTTCTAATGGATTGTTGTCTTTTAGTTTGAATGATATTCTATTTGGAATTGCAAGGTTATATAACAGATTATATGTTCTTGATTTGAACAATAAATATATTCTCAACATTGAACTTTTTTAGATTTCAAACCTATAAGGACTGCTCTATATTTTTTAGGGATATGTTTGCAAGATTTTAAACTTTTTGGACTGTCGGGAGACGACCACCTGTTTAGCAGGTAGGACCAGGAAAACCGGGACCCAACCCCTTGGTCGGGTGACATCTCGGGTCGGGTTTCAAAACCTTGCCTGGGGGACAACCGGGAGTTATTGCTAAAACCACATTGGAGAATGAACCGTACTGTCACGTGTTACATAATCCACGCTGCTCAACTATTAAAGGAGGCGTTACTCCGATATTTAGCTAAAGTTACTAAACCGTCTCCTCCCAAAACGTCGTCATTCAGTCCCTCTATCATCCACAGAAACATGACCGCAGACACTCTCCCGTTCCAAAACGGCACTTTGTGGAACGGAGATCTGAGCTCCACGAACCCTAACTCCAACGCCGCCACCGCCACCGCCAAGAAGTCCAAAGAGAGCGAACGGCGTCGGCGCAGGCGCAAGCAGAAGAAGAACAAGGCCTCTCAGCAGGCACCTGAGTCTAATGCCGACGCCGGAAACGAAACAGACGAAGATGAAGCCAAGGAGAACGCCGATCTTCAACCACAGGTCTGGCTATACTTCTAGGGTTTTATTGTTTGTATTCTTCTTCTATTTATATGTATGCATGCGTTTATGTTTGATGACTTGAATGGAGCGTAAATTTTTAGGTTATAAGGGCTTGATTTTGGGGCAAATTAAGGTTTGCCTGAATAATAATTAGGATTCTGATTTTCTAGATAGAGTATCTATGATTTTCTTAGGCTATTGCCTTTGTTTTACTTTCATCTAGAAAAGCAATAAATAAATAACACGAAACCGGCCCTCGTAGCCGATAATAAATGGTCTGTAGAAATTATTGGGTGAATGGTAAGGAAGTGTGTCTCTCTTTGCATTCTAACTTTGGTGGTGAGGATTAAGCCATGGATAAGGATGGCGAGCTTTTGAGTTTCTTTTATGCCTTGAAGATACATATACATATTTTATATTGATCTGTGTTCAGTTTGTATCTTTCTACATTAAAATAATAAAAATAGATATGAATCTTACGACCATACTATCAAATCTCATAGGCTACTGCTGATTCTAGTTATGTGAATTTGTAATATTTTTTCTTAAATCATTGATATGAACTAAGAAGTCAAGTTTATTCAAATTAATATTATAATAAAGAAAGCAGTAGGAACTAGAATGAACAGTTGCATGCATGGGTGAACTAGTTTCTGGGTTCTGTATAGACTTGTTGTAGTTGTAGTTGGAGAGGAAGAATGGATAGGGAACTTGAAATTTTAATTGCGATTTCTGATTTTTGAGTAATTAAGGCTGAACTAGTTATACAAAATGGAGTTGTTTACATTTCCTTATCTTTCACTAATAACTTGGTACAATTGGCTAGGCGTTATATATAAAATTCTTTTTGTTTCTTTGTTAGTCTCCCTGTGTGAATATAGCCAGTGACATTTGTTTTGGTTCTTTATACATCTGCTTGGTTCAGTGCGATCATCATGACATGTGCAATTGTTTTAAATAACTTGTCAGGTTGTTGAGCAAGTTACTATTGAGTATGTACCAGAGAAGGCAGAGTTAGTAGATGGTATGGATGATGAATTTAGAAAGATCTTTGAGAAGTTCACTTTTAATGACACTGCTGGTTCTGAGGTAAATGGGTGAACTTTTAAGTCTTCTTGTTTTTTTGTTGGTTAGAATATTACTTGAAGCTGATTTTTTTTTTCCCCCAGGAGAATGATAAAACAGATGAGGCTGCCAAAAATGCAGACTCAAAGAAGAAGGCTGACTCAGATTCAGAAGATGAAGAACAGGATGACCAACAAAAAGAGAAAGGCCTTTCAAATAAAAAGAAAAAGGTTTTTGGTGCTTCATTGAAAGTTATTTTGTTCTTCATATTAATTTTATCATATAATTGTTATATTATTGTCATCATTATGTATCACTGTTTTTGTTACTATTGCTGGCATGTGACTGACAGAATTTTTTTTGAAAAAACCTTTTTTCAGCTTCAACGAAGGATGAAGATTGCTGAACTGAAACAGATCTGCTCAAGGCCTGATGTTGTTGAGGTAGTGATAAATGCCCGTATTTGTCATATTTTTATTTGGTTATTGATGTGCTCTTTCCTGCTTTTTGGTGATCTAATATGGTTTCCTCATTCTGGAGTTAGCAATAAATGTGATTGATAGCATTAATATGTGTTAACCATTTGAGAATTTGAGAACACAGATAAAAGATGTGTTAAGGATTCTATATGATATTAATCTTATTACCTAGTTCACAAGTCTTGTATTCATATACTATTTTAATCCCTTCCAATATTTGATCCTGCCACTTGTAACTGTTGATAATCTGTTTTACTTTTTGTTGTTTTTCCCTGCTCATTTAACCTTTTATTCTGTATTCAGGTTTGGGATGCAACAGCTGCAGACCCTAAGTTGCTGGTGTTTTTGAAGGCATATAGAAATACTGTTCCTGTTCCAAGGCATTGGTGTCAGAAGAGGAAATTTTTGCAGGTCAGTTATTTCTGCTAAAATTGACCAATGTGGATAAAGTTATGCATGCACAATTGATGGGATTGGTCAACATGAGGGGTTTAGGGAAGAGAGTGAGGAAAGATCAATGCGATAAAATTTCCCTTATATGTATATATGTGGTTCTTGCAGGGTAGCGGCTGTGACAACCATGGAGCCTGGACTTGTATGTGTTTTGGAAAGAGGACCTTTGAATTATATCTCTTTAAATGTATTTGCTAACGTGGGTTGGGATATAGATGTTTATCTGATGCTTTTAATGGAATTTTTTTAGTAGAATGGCATACCTTTGCATGCTAGATGTAGGAGATTTTTGTTCACTGTTGAGGTGCTAATTAGTTTGCTTTGAATTTCAGATGCCTTTCCATTGTGCCTAATGCTCGGGCTAGATTCGTATAAGATTTTAATATTTTTGAAGTTATCTGAGTTGGGTGCAGATTGATTAACTTTTGTAATTGTAAAATTTCTGGTATCTCATAAGGTTTTGGATTTTTTGTTTTCAGGGGAAGCGTGGAATTGAGAAGCAACCATTTCAGCTTCCTGATTTCATTGCCGCTACAGGAATTGAGAAAATTCGACAGGTAGCTCCAACTTTATTATTGTTTCCTTAAGTTTTTTTCTTTCTTTATGTTGAACCAAGTTTCATTTCCTGGATGCTCCATACATGATGCATGTTTTGCTAGATATTTTTCTGTATGTGTTTGTGTACATGATAAGGGCACCTAATAATGTTAATTTTTGAGGAGTTTAAAGCCTGAATTTTTTTTATCTTTTTGTTTTCTAATTCTCTTTTTACTCTAGAAATTCCCTCATTGGAGTTTTGGAAACCTTACATTGGTGCCAGTAATATTGTAATTAGAAGCTGGGCAAACATATTTTCAATCTAGATACCATTTACCTGTGTCTGTAAATATGATTCTTTGTGTTTATTCCAGTGTTGAATGCTGCCTGCTTGCTGTCCCTCTTTGTACGGTTTTTTCTAACATCTGGATTTGGGTTTTGTTTTGATTTTTTATTCCATTCTGTTTCTGTGCTGTGTTGTGAAAGGTGCTTATAACTTATTTCATTTGATTTTTCCTTGCAGGCTTACATAGAAAAAGAGGACAGTAAGAAGTTGAAACAAAAGCAGCGTGAACGTATGCAGCCAAAGATGGGGAAAATGGATATAGACTATCAGGTTTCACCTGTTTCTTGATTGATGTTATTTAGAATTATACTGTAATTTTTGCTTCTTTGCATGTTGAGTAATGTGCCTCCCCTTGCTTGTGTTTGGAATGATTATTGCCATTTTTCTGACAAGATTCTTGTTTCTGTTATTTAGGTCCTCCATGATGCATTTTTTAAGTACCAGACGAAGCCAAAACTGACAACTCATGGTGATTTGTACCATGAAGGGAAAGAATTTGAGGTGAACTTAATATGTATATTATGCTTTATATGTATTGCTGCTCATTCAGTTTGATTCTTTTACAATTTGCATGTATTTTCTGCGCTGACTGCTGTTACACAAACATGTTGGCATTACATATGACTATCATCATATCATAGCATTACAGGGAAGAAATGACATTTATGTGACTTTTAGATTCTTTTTGTTAATTATTTGTTCATGCAACTACTGAACACACCTTTTGTCATGGTCATTCTTAGTACTTTATATCTACGTAACCTAGAGGCTTGAATAAAATGATGTGGACACTTCTCTTAGATGATAGGTTTGCTTGTGATTTGATATAATGAAGTGGGGGTTTGTGCCTATTGTTTAATGGGATGGTACAGTCACCTTTTCTTTTGTTTGACCTGTAGGTGAAACTAAGGGAGATGAAGCCCGGAACATTGTCACAAGAATTAAAAGAAGCTCTTGGTATGCCAGATGGTGCTCCACCCCCATGGCTTATCAATATGCAGGTGAGTTTGGCTAAATTGTCCACTTTTGTAGCTATGATTATTTTTTTCTAACCGTGGATCTGATCATGTAGAGATATGGTCCACCGCCTTCATACCCGCATCTTAAAATTCCTGGACTAAATGCTCCTATTCCTGCTGGAGCTAGTTTTGGTTATCAACCTGGTGGCTGGGGCAAGCCTCCTGTCGATGAAGTATGTGATTTAATTAAAATTTGTCTCAAATTACTTGTATTCATCTACTATTTGGTGTATAACCAATTTCTTTTGTCACTGTAAATAGTATGGACGCCCTTTGTATGGAGATGTTTTTGGTGTTCAGCTACAAGAACAGCCCAACTATGAGGTATGAGACTGCACAATTGGGTTTGGATTGGCATATTGAATGATATATATATATATATGGAAGACACTGAACTCTAATGTAGTAAAACCCTAATCAATAGTCAAGAACGAGTAATTAAGTAAAATATTAAATTAACCTTGCATTACCCATCATCAAAGTAAAAAGACCTTGCTTTCATGCCTATACTTCTAATGTTACCACTCAATTCTATTAATTTGTGACTGGGATATGCCCACTGTAAATTTGATTCTTAATATGGGTCCCAACCCTTTGGTTTTTTTTTTTTTTTTTTTTTTTTGACATCCCTATCAGTAATGAGGAGAGACACCACTGATTATGAATGTTATTACAGCATGAAGGATATTTTGCAATCCCAAACTTTTAACTCTTGAGTACCTATTCTTGACATTGATTGACATTTTCTTTTCTNATAATTAGTTAAATACAGACAAAGCCAAATAGCTAGATTTGTAACTTTTACAAGGGACTTTCTCTCAAATTCAAAGGACATACAATGGTTATATTCTCCACTTGATCAAGGAATATATTGTCACATTTTTTTTTAGGAATCTAACAATTTAATAAATCTTTCATCAATAAATTTACATTATTACGCATAAATAACCAATTTTCTATATAATAACTCTATATTCAAATGCACTTTCAAGTAGTGTTTTTGTACTCGGATCGGGCCTTAACCTAGTCAAGGGGCTGGTCCTTGGGTTGGGTGGTCTGATCGGTGGGTTGGATCGGCGACCTCAGCATGAAACCCTAGTATGAAATTTAACAGACGTACCCTTGAGAAATTATTATCAGTCCATGCAGGTTTAAAATCTAGTAAACACACCCCTGTAATCGGGCTAGGAAACCCTAGTTGCCACAACTGCAATCCACCCCAGATCAGTCCAACGTTAGACAAACCACCACCAAGACACCATGAAAACCCTAACCCACCAAAAAACACCACCATCCGCCACACAAAATCCACCACAAACCAAGGTAGCCAACACAAAGAGGAGATGAAGAGGGACCACACGGCCGGCGAGGCGGACTATAATCCAGATCGAAAATTAGAAGATTCGAAGGAGTGAAGATGAAGAACTGAAGATTGAAATTGAAGATGAAGAAATTAAATTGAAGAGTAGAATTTAGGGATTTTAATTTTAGGAATTAGGATTCTGGTTTTTAGCCACCGATTCTTTGACACAGTGGTTGAAAAGGTGATTCGACACTGTTCCGCTAGTTCAACCCTGGGTCAATTCAGTCTAATAGTTATAACCGAGTTTAGAATGTTCTCGGACTAGTTAAGGGTTTGATTCCTTCGACCGGTTTGGTTTGGGTTTTAAAACAATTCTTTCAAGTATGAACACTGAAAAGATGAACTTTTCAAGAGTACTTATATGCAAGATTTTTCTAAGTCTTTATAGATTTTTGGATATTTAAAAAATTTGATCATGACATAAGCAAAGAACACATAATTAGCATTGTTTTTATACCACAATTGGTTTATTTCACTATGATGCTGATGAAAATTGGAGCACTAATCCAAATTCAATCCAAGTGGATTTGGAATCCATAGTGGTGCATGAAATAGGGCACCTTCTTGGACTTGGACATAGTCCGGATCGTCATGCCATTATGTTTACAGAAATCCCACCAAGAATTGTGGAGAGAGAACTAAACCAAGATGATATCAATGGTATTTGTTGATGCGTGATTTTGACACCAACGATCTTGCACGTGCAAAGTGCTAAGAGGGTCGTAGAAATTTCATGTGATTAATTATGGGATTTGGGTTAAGGTCACAATTGTATGCAAAGATTGAATAATAAATGAGACAATGAGAATTTTTATAATGGTTCGGATGCTTAAAGCGATTCCTACATCCACTTTCTTCTTTTATATGAGTGTTCTTGGTGATTAGCCAAGTTTACAAGAGGTTGCGAACAACAAATGGAAATACAAGAGTTTGATATTGATGGAGAATATTGACCCAGTCTCTTTCCCATAGGTTGTCTTTACTATTTCTTTGTTGAATTCAGACAGTCTGATCATTCATCTCGATTTTGTGAGGGGAAGTCCTTTATTTATAGCCGCTAAATCGAGATGAATGATCAGACTGTGTGCGGACCTGACGTGGGTAGGTACCATGCAAGTCCTTCCTTGCGTTCCATTGGTTGATAATTTAGGAAATATCCTCAAATTATATGGGGCTTGGACATGTGTGCGGACCACATTCATTCACAGACAAAACTTGAGTACGCTGGGTTGGTGACAACCATATTCTCTCTGTCTTGGGGCGTCGTGATAGATTCTGGACAGCACAAAGCCTTCCTGAACTCTGATTGGTGTTTGCTGATGTAAGCCTATGTCAAACCATATTTTTTAGGCATAACAGAAGCTCCCCAGTTCTTGAGATTCAAGGGATTGGATATTGAGAACTTCATGATTATGCCTCGACCTGACTTGACTTTGGAAATGCTTGCTCGAGCTGAGTGCTGAGGTGTAATCACATCGTTGAAGACGACCTGAAATCGACTGCTTGATCTGACTTTTAAAGTGTTGTCTTGATTTGATTTGCAAACTGAATGCAGGTCATAAGTCATGACTTGAGAGTAACACAGGTGACCTGACGTGATTGTTTATTGTGATCTACCGACCTGAGCTTGATCTTGTCTTGAGTCATCGGGAGGTGTTTTGATCTCTAACTGTCATTCACAACCTACAAACACTTAGAATATTTCGTGGCTGAAAATTCTGAATCATCTTGCTTGGTGTTCGTGTTTGACATGTTGAATAAATGTCTCTTTTGAATGACCTCTTCAGATATTATTTATTGCACTTGACAATTGGCTCGGTCAATAAAGCAATCTTTATCTGACAGACATGTCTTTCTACATGTAATAAGTGTCAGCCATGAGCATTAAATGCAAGCCATGCTGAAACGACATTCCCATTTGGTGCATTAAATGTAGACGAGGGTGCATTAAATGCGGAAGAGATAATCACGCTGGTGATTCACATTCCCGATAAAGGGTAACGTCGGTTGGTTTCTGCGAGGCATGGGAGTTACTCTTCCCATGGATTGATAACACGTGGTTGCGATCTACGGCTAAGAATGAATTCCCGCCTAAACGTTGCTTATAAAGAAGCTGTAGCGTCATCTCCTTCACTATAAAACCCTAACTTTTTCAGAAAAGTCAAAATTTTTAGAGAGAAAACAATGTTTTCCTACTCAAAAAAAAAATTGTTCTTCCTTCACCAGTTTATGCAAACCCAACGCTACACTAGAGCACCCATTTTAGGCAACTAAGAGGTAAAGAAATTTATTCCCGTTTCTCTTTTTCACATTTATGCAAAAAATTTCTTTTTTACAGTCATGGTGGTTATGGGTATCTAGTAGGTCTAGGAAAAGAGCACTTTTGGGTAGTGTTCGAAAGAAACACTTGAAAGCTTAAAACTTAGGGTAAAGAGTCTTGAAGGATTGGTTTTAGGAGTTTTAGGGTTTAGAAGCTTTATGGCCACGGTAGAAATCATAGAGATATCCTCCACTTTGTGTGAGTCGTCATATGAGGTAGATTTTTCAGGGTTTGAGTCTCCCTTAAATGTCATACCTTTATAGACTCTAGGACCACGGAGATCCCTGAAATGAGAATAACCGGCGAAGAAAGCTCACACCAGGTACCTTAGCAAGTCTTGGGAAGGTGATAAGGTTCACTATCACGATGGACGAAATCAAAAAGGCATTAGAGCAATACACAATCAGAGGGGACGTGTATCAAAAGAAGACATACACTACCCAGGATCCTCCTGAGGGAATGCCTGCGATCTCGGAAGCTATTTTCAAATACAAAGTGAGAATACTTTTCCACCCCTACATCAAGTCGATCCTCGATTACTTCTAGGTCGCGCCATTCCAGCTGATGTCGAACACATATATGATAGTTGTCTCTATGTATATATTGTTCTGCGAGCACGAACTCGGGGAGCCAACGATGTTGGAGCTCACTTGCACTTATATCTTGAAGTAGAGTAAAGATAAAGACTTGTACTACCTATCCAAATGACCAATAATCGAGGGAGGAATATTTGGTTATTCCGGCAACGTGAGAGCTTAGGAGACCAAATACTTTTTCTTTAAGTATGACGGTATTTGTAAATTTTAGGAACCGAGTATGTTTTTCCCTTCAATTTTTAGGTCGTTTGTTCTTTTTTACTTAATTCTTTTTCAAAGTATAAGCTAACAAACTCTTTTTCTTTGTAGAAAACAAAACGACCAGATTGCAGCTGTTGACCGATTGCAGCCGCATTCAAGCGTTTGGCCAACTTCCTAACAGAGGTAGCGATGCGAAGCTGCTCATGACGACTGAAAATTTTGGGAAGTACGGATTCTTCCCTCTAGAAGCATACTTAGACGGTTCAGCTCGTAAGTTTTTCTAAACTAAAAAACCCAAGTCTTTTGCATATTGCTGATCATGTTTGTATGCCATGCAACAACCATGCAGTTGAAGAAATCAAAGTGATCTAGAGGAATTACCTTCCCAAGATTAAATCCAGATTCTCAAGCTGGACCAACTCCAAGCAATGTCCCTATAACGGGGACCCAAGCTAATGCCAAAAGGCAACCAGTTGTGGAGTGACGTGAGGAAGCTCTCTAGCTTGTTGCGGCACATTCGATGAAGAAGAAACTGTGGGCTTGAAGAAAAGGAAGACGATAACGGCCGAACAATCTGAATCTAAGTCAGATGACTTCGAGATACTATTGGGTGGGTTGCAACCTACCCAACTTCCTACTTTGAAGGTCGCTTCGAAAGATGTACCGGAGGCATCCTAAAGGAAGGAAGGTGATGCCACTCAAAGGAGAAAAGGAGGAGTCGGTTAAGAACAAACCGAGGAAGTTCCCACCATGGGAGGTCAAGATCAATCTGTCCAAGACCTCCTTGGGCAACTTCCAAATCACCTAAGGTCGGTGATTAATTTTTACTTTTCTTGAGTGCAAACTGGAGTCGACCTTTGAAAGGTACGTGGCTGCCAGACCTTCTGACC